TTCGGTTCGCGACCAGAGTCACGGAACGAATTAAGTTCGTGAACCGAGGTACCACTGTATTTAATATCAACTATAATTATAAACATTTCTCTCAAGCAGATGTGTATAGGATTATTCATCTCTAAATGTATCCATGTTTACATAGGGAAAATCTAACTAAATGTTACAGAAAGAGTTATGATAGAAAGTGAAAGAGGAAAAAGTCACAGAACACTGCAAGCAGATAGCCAAGGTTTATTTTGAATATTTTGAATTTATCTCCTGCTTCCCTCACAATAAGCGATAATCTTGAGTCAGCAATGTATTCAACTCAGTAGAAAGAAAAACAGATTCCACAGTCTGTTTAGACAGATCTGTTTTAACAGTTTAATCTACAAGAGGCAATAATAGTGAGTAAATGCCATTTATCTTCTCAATTAATCTTAGATCCTACCTTACAGAATTGTGAGATACAATTAGGGTGGGAGCAGGAAACCACTTTCTCCACCTTCAGTCCCTGGAGGACAAATGAAATAAAAATGCAAGCAAACCAAGGCCAGGGAACCCTTGGCCTTCCAAGGTTACTGAAGTACAAATTGTAATATCCTGCACCATTAACAATTTTGGCTGAGGTTGCTGAACATTTGGGGGGGGGGGTTTAATACATTTCCTGCCCCTGTGCTAAATAAACATTTGTAGTTAATTAAGTCTGCTTCCAGATCCAATTCACAGTGCTGTTTTTGACCTTTAAAGCCCTTCATGGCATGGAGCCAGGTTATTTGAGGGACTGCCTCTCCCCGATTACCTCTGCTTGTCCCATCAGATCGGGCAAGAGAGGCATGCTCCTGTTTCTCAGGGAACTACACTTGGCAGGCCCGAGGAGGTGGGCCTTCTCTGCCCTGGTGTCTGCCTTATGGAACATTCTTTCCCCTGAAGTGAGGTCAGCCCCATCCCTCCTTAACTTCCAGAAGTTCCTCAAGACCTGGTTATGTCATCAGGCCTGGGGGTCTCAGGGAACTGGTGAGATCTTAGGTGGCTCCATTGCTGAGTGAACTTCTTGTGTGTGCTTTTTGTTTTGTTTTGTTGTTATATCTGTGTTTGACATGTTTATTGTTTTTGTTCTTTTTTTGCTGTATGCCACACAGAGTCTTGTGAGATAGGTGGCCATATAAATTTAGTAAATAAATAAATAAAATTAATTGATTGATTGATTAATCCAGGCTAGTCAGATTTTAAAAAGTGAAAACAGTAGGCATAACTATAGAGTAAATTACATCACAACTCTAATTCATGAAACACCATACATAATCTTAAACTGCATAAGATTTTTCTTATTTTGTAACACTCTAATCTAGTTGATTCCAAAACTTGAACCTGACTCATTTTTCAGGAGACACTGAGATTCTTTATCCTCCTCTTGCTATGCATCCTGTGCCCAGCAGTATGATCTGGATGTGCCCTGTGTATGACATTCCTTTTCTTCCCAATGTGTCACCCATGCATAACTACTTCCTAGGATGGAATAGGACTTCTTTGTCCCTAAAACATTTTTCTCCTAAGGATGGTTGGGTACTTGATAATGGAACAGAAGCTGGGGGGTTTATTCCCAGGACGCAAATTCCAGGGAAGCTATTCTCTACACTGAAGTAAATTACAGTTTCTTCTACCTACCTGTTTTGATAATTCTCACTAGATAATTTGCGGAATGGAGCAACATGTGGCTATTCCCAGTGCAAATATTTGTCTGGTATACATATGTTAAAAATGGCCTAATTACATAATGTTAAGACACAGCGCAATAGAGCATGACACAAATATGCAAAGTTTGAAGGCATGGTGGACATCTTGCCCTACAGAGGATGACAGATTAATAACAGGAACAGCTGAAATCGCCAAAGAATTGACTTGAGAGTAATTATGGACTGCAGAGTCATTAGTTATGCTTGTTTTTAACAACACACTTCTGTTTAATCTGGCCTGAATATGAAGCAAGCCAAATCCTCTGTATTTCACTTTTGGTGCTAAAAGCAAATTTTTCAAAATGCAACTTGTAATCTTTAAACTAAATGCAAAATTTGATTCGGGTATTACATGTGATATATTTTAGCAGTATCTCTGTATACAAATATGTTTCCTATAATGTTAAAACATGCTCAAGAAAAACATTAAATCAACTTTAAGAAGAAAAAAATAAAGTCATTTGTTCCTCAGTCCTAAAATAGATTTACTGTAGTAAAATTTGAAGAAAGAAATATATTGCTGTATAAGAAAATTCCCACAGAGCAGGATCTACTTATCCAGTTAGGCAGGGAAGAATTTTCAGCTCTTGAGGTACCTGAGATACTAGAACAACTTGTTAAATCCTTTAAAACAAAAAACTTACTATTAGTTTTTATAGATATTTATTATCAATAAATCAATTTGATATGCAGATGTTAAGAAATGAGTA